TAATCTATCTCGACTAGAAAGACTGAGGGTGCTAATGATAAGGATATTTCTAATGTTGTTTGATGGTTGATTGAAGTATATGCCAGGTATGAGTGAAAGTACTTTTGCAAGGAAACAAAGAAAAAAAATAGTAGGTGGATACTTCAAATGTGCTCGATGGACTTGTGACACACAATGTAAAGCTGTGGGGCTTATATCCAAAAATTGAGAAGAAAAAATAACATTTATAAAGGTTCACAATCTAACACTTACGGTTTAAAAATTGCAGACTCTGAGTGCTGCAGATTTCTGTTGATGGAGATCGTATGATTATCCACTCATCAGAAATCACCTCGTTCGAATGTCTTGGAGTCACTGAGAACGTTGCGCAGTTGGACGGAGTCGGTCTCGTGGGGGTCGTGCAGATGCGGTGCTCGCGAGCTGCTGCAGGTAGCGATATCCTCGCGGGTCTTCGGTGGATGGTAGCGGGTCGCTCGGAGCAAGCAGATCGCTCGTTGTGTCGCCTAGGAAGTCAAGGGTCTGCATCGGGCGGGTGCGAGCTCTCGGGCGAGTGATCGTCAGAGCTAAGGCGCAAACAGGTCTTGCTAGTCTTAGACGAAGCGCGCTTGGGCACGGTCGTGTCCGGTGGCTTGCTCGGAGATCTCGTCAACCTCGGGCTTTTGTTGTATGACTCGACACCTCTCTGATTGTCTTGGTGGGCAACAAGCTCGGAAATGATCTCTCGGGAAATAGGGTCGACCGACTGATGTGTGTTTATGCATGTAGTTGTGTCCAATCTCAAGATATACATGGTGTATTTATAAGGCTACGACAGGGACGCTAAGGAGGTGATGATGTGGGCTTCTTAAGTCTTGGGCCTAACTGTAGGGTTTGCTCAATGACTTAAATAAGGTTTCGGCCAACTAATAACACACTATTGCACTTCCTCATCATCCTCGAATTATATTTGAGACTCCAGTTATAATGTCCGTTCATTAATTCAATTAGTGGTAATAAAGAATTAATCGACAACTTGAACCAAAGCTAGTATCACCTAAATCATTATTATTATGTTTGAACTTAATCCACCTGCATGGTTTACATAATAATCCTTCATGAGCTCAGTTCGGGGACATCATCAAACTAAAGTTGGTAAATATTTGATTTTATTATTTGTTGTTAGTATTTTTGATTTTTTGGTAATAGAATTATGTAACGTGCATAGGTGTAGTAAAAAAAAAAAAAAAAAAAAAAAATTAGAATGTTACAACACTTTATATAATGAGTTTTTTTGTAAGATTTAAAAAGTATTTTTTATTCAAATCAGACTTTTGATAACAGGTGACCAATGCACCTGTCATCTAAAGTTCACTTTCGTGAACGGGTAAATTGATAACGGGTGAACAATGCACTCGTTATCTGAAGTGAACTTTAGATAACGGGTCAAACATAGTTTTAGATAATAGATAATGGACGTAGACCCATTCTAAAAAATCAATTAAAAAGTGATTTTTTCTACTAGTGAACTTTTCATTTGTTTCGGCACTTTTAAAAATTTTATTATGCTTCATACTTCTGAAAGCTTGCATAAGCCCCTAGCCTCAACTCTCAAGTGAGGGTAGGTAATCTTATGTAGCAAGGTTATTTTGGTCTTTCACATGCTAAAATAGCTCAAAAAATCATTTTTTCTGTATATGGGTAAATGGTCTTATCATTTTAGGTCCTTTACAACAACACTCAGTGGGTTGTTATCAGCCTTAGTAAGAATTTTTCAGATGCAACAACTACACCGAACATATATGTGCATCATTACTCTCTATTGAAAGCCTCATATATCATATTATCAGTGAGTTCAATTCTTGTCTATGTTCTAGTTCTTTGGAGCTTTGAAGTCTGATATGCTACATCTGTTGGATTTTAGATGTACGAACCCAGCGTACGCGGAGCGGAATTTTAAAATTTTCTTACCAACAACGAAGATTCGGCTATAGTTATTCGATATGATCCTAGATCGCGTAAATAATTAACAAAAACTTACAGTTTAAGCTTTGTCTTCAACTCACGCAATCCAGATCCCGGTGCACGATCCAACGCAATGAATCCTTTCCGATGAAGACGCTAGGAATCATCAGTCAGAAAGCCTGAGAATGTTTTGTGTTTTTAACGCCGTATCTTTTTTCTCATCTAATCTAATGATCGTCAAAGACTACCATGAGATAATGACCTACTTATAATTAGGTCAAACCTAATTATATGGACTTTAGGATAACCTAGCCCAATAGGTAATTGGACCCAATCCAATTAATGATTTAATTAAGTGTAAGTCCAATTTAGCTTAATTAAATATTTTCTATCTAATAAAAAATAATCTCATCACTCAAAAATAAATATTCCAATCTAATTGAATATTTAACACTCTCGATTCACTCTTAGCCCAAAAATAGATTGCATATTGTGTGACCCTATAGGCCTTTATATATTGACATAAATCTAATTTATGATCCTTAAGAAACTCCTAGACTGCGTCGAATGACGAACTCAAAATATGAAGTACGTTTACATAGAGAAAACAAACAAACCTTTGGTGTAGATTCAATAGTGATACGGTCCCTTCATTCACGAGCCACTCGATTAAGCTTAAGACTTGAACGTGTGTCTATCCAAATAGCTTAATCATTTTATCTCATTTTACTAGTTGATTTTATCAATTATATTTGAACACCATTTCAAATATAATCACGTGCATTGGCCAATGACTTTATCAACCCAGTATAGAGAAAATGAGTGTTCTCTCGAAACTATATTCGAGGAATGAATCCTATCTTGGCTCAACTACCAATTTCATGTATATCGTGATTAACCCAACACAAGCACGTATCTACCCATAAAGGCGTAAGCGATGGACTAGGTCTATGTAAATCACTCTACACATGAATTGCGTATTGACTTCAAGTCAAAAGACTATTACACCATTCCACACATCGATACTCCCATAGACACATAAACAAATGGTTTGTCGGTAGGGTATGCCAATACTCTCCAAAGTAGACACATAAACAAAAGACTATTACACCATTCCACACATCGATACTCCCATAGACACATAAACAAATGGTTTGTCGGTAGGGTATGCCAATACTCTCCAAAGTAGACACATAAACAAATGGTTTGTCGGTAGGGTATGTCAATACTCTCCAAAGTATCCATGTGTCCATCACGAATAACAATGGGTATGTCAATACTCTCCAAAGTATCCATGTGTCCATCACGAATAACAATTACTCTCCAAAGTATCCATGTGTCCATCACGAATAACAATGGGTATGTCAATACTCTCCAAAGTATCCATGTGACCATCACGAATAACAATTCCATCACGAATAATACTCTCCAAAGTATCCATGTGTCCATCACGAATAACAATTACTCTCCAAAGTATCCATGTGTCCATCACGAATAACAATGGGTATGTCAATACTCTCCAAAGTATCCATGTGACCATCACGAATAACAATTCCATCACGAATAACAATTATTCATAGTAATGAGACATACTATATTCTCTACGAATAACAATTCCATCACGAATAACAATTATTCATAGTAATGAGACATACTATATTCTCTATTCTCTAAGAATGTGATGCAGACCACATGTCAGTGTATCATTAATATCCCTTTCTTAATGATCATTTTATAATCTAATATAATGATCATTAATATCCCTTTCTTAATGATCATTTTATAATCTAATATAACTATTAACTTTCTTAATGATCATTTTATAATCTAATATAACTATTAACGTAGTCACGTATATATGTCCAGATATTGTCTCGACACATATAGAAGTCGTCAGCAACACAATTTCTCTATATCTTTATAGACAAGATGCACGAAGTCGTCAGCCAATGCGGAAATAGATATTCTTGCCTAGACTTTATTCATTACGCCTAAAGTTATTATTTCATTACACCTTAGTCAAAAACCAGTCAAAATGGCTTAAACCTGTTGCAAACCGGAAAACCGTCCATGGGTCAAGCGAGCCAGCGGCTTAAATGTTGGGCCACACAAGTTCACGCATGCCGTTGTCAAGGTTATCAATTAAAGAGGAAATTCTTTTTCAATATTTTTTCAATGTGGGATATCTATTCAATGTGAGTTTATAATTTTTTGCCCTTTGCTTTGTCTTCTTCTTTCCTTCTCTTTATTTATTTCTTCCCATAAATGCTTCCTACGGCATAACTCAATCTCACAGCTTATGTGATTTATTCTATCCACACATTGAAGAGGAAGTAAAATGATTAATTTATCCCTATCTTCTTTCAATTTTTTTTCATTCATTATTACACATCTATGAAGCATCACCATCTTAATCTAATTTATTCTTCATTATTGTACAACAACACCATCCATCGGCAATCGAGCAGCGACCAAGGTCCCCGGCCTCCCCGTACACTGCCGACGAGCCAGTGGTCGTCCTGGTTCCCCGCCTTCCCGTATGCCCCACCACTGTCCCCTGACTCTTCCACATTCCGTTTTCAGTCCTTGTTGCAATTATAGATCTCCGGTCATCAAGTCACCAATAAGCCTCAGCTTCAGATCTCCGATCATCAAACCACCAACAAATCTCAATTTTAGTAATTTACTAATTTTAGACAATTACTAGAGAGAATTTGAAAGAAAAAATAATTAAAAAGATAATTTTGGTTGGAAAAATCAAGGATCTCACCTGTGTGTGGGTTGTGGGTGATGGTTTTGTATTTTAAATTTTTAATCAAGTCTTATAAATGGAAAACAAAAAACAATAAATAAAAAAAAAAATGTCTATAAGGACAAAATTGACAATGCATAATGTGTCCCTTATATTATAAAAGAAGTATTATTTATAAAAATGCTATTATACTCTATAAAATTAATAAAAAAATATATACAAATATGTATTATACATATAAAATAAATAAATAAATTATATATTAATTAAATCGGTTCGACCGTTTCGACCATTGATCCGACCAGTGAACCATTAAACCGGTAGCTTCACCAGTTCAATGATCGGTCCGGTTTCCAGAACATTGGTTTTTAAATCATAAGAACTGAACAATTGAGTTCATATTTTTTTCCGTGTTATCGACACTTAATTTGCAACACAAAATAGCTTAAATTTTAACAACAAAAAGGGAAAAAGTGAAAAATGAAAAACCAGAACAGAACTCCCATATGCAACATACAGCAAGCCAAAGTTCCTACAATGAATAAAAACCCATATATCCAACGACCAAAACCCTCACACAACAATATCTTTTCCAAACACTTGAGCACCATCATCATCAAACAACAAATTACCAATGATATAAACCCCAACAAAATAAAGAAAAAAAAAAGAAGAGTAAAGGAAGTAAAAAGATTCACACATAACGGCCGAGAGAAACAGAAAGATCAACCGAGATGCCGAAAAGAAGAATAGCGATGGCCAAAAAATTGATGAGGCGAGCTTCGCTCTGGTGGCGTAGCCCCATATAAGTGGCTTTCTCCATGAGCCCGGTCAAGGCTGTGCATATGGCCATGTACAAAAGTGCCCTTCCTCCATTTACGTGCCATGGTGCTGCCCTTGCCCTTGTCTCATTCGATGCCCCGGACAACATAAACGTGCCCAAACCAAACAACCACTGCATGTATGGACAAAAAACATTGGTATAATTACGACAACACCCTTCAGGCTTGGTCTAATTATGAAATCATCTAATTGTTGGAGTATTTTGGAGAAAGTACCTGCAAGCAGAAGAGGGAGAATGTGCCGATTCCAATCCAAGAATGCAAGCTGTACAAGTTGGTCAATCCCTTTATTTCGTGGAACTTAAAGGCCGCATGTAGCCCCACAATCCCGAGAACAATGGCCACGAAATGTATGAACATGTGAATAGATTTCTGGACTTTCCTCTCTGCCCCCACCGTCTTGTATGCCATCATTGCTGCCCATATATGTGCAAGTATTATAAAGGCTTGATAGGAAAACTTGGTAAGAGGTTTATTTCTGAAAATGAAAATCGTGTTTTCTGATCATTCTCATACCTTCACCTATCATAAATATGAACCCGAAAAACATAAGAAATGGATGAACCTGCAAAAAAACAGTGAACCAAAATCAGAGCCAAAAAGGAACATGCACAGATTTTTCACATAGGTTTTTTTTATTTGTATCGATACAAAACAGTTATATAATGGAACTTTCTAAAGGGTCTAACATTGAAAACCCGGTTGGCATTATACGACTCGAGATCAAGGCCTTCACGATAATGCAGCAGCCACACGAGCAAAAGCATTATTGCTAAAATACCAAATAAGTGGGCAGAAACGGTCATACAAGAGGCCGGCCTTCGGTATCTGTATCTGTGACCCTCAATACTCTGATCCATAATTGATATATAATAATTTAGGAAAATATAGTTGCACTTAGTGTATGATCATGCAGAAAAGAAGGCAAGTATATGGGAGAAGTTTTAAGTTATGCACGATTTGCAATGACTTCAACTTGTTATATATATATATATACTACTTAACAATTAGAATAATATTGGATTAGCTTTTGATGGGTTGCTTGTTTTGGTGGTTTTGGCATAATATTTCGGGCAGGGATAACTTTGAGCCTTGGCAAAGGATTTAAACAAAAGTAAATTTGAGTAAAGTGGCTTCCAGTTGAATCTATAATATATCTTGATTTCCATGCATGAAATAAAGAGTTGCATGTTGTTTTATTGATTGAATCGCGTTTATATGGGATACGGGGTACGGGGGGCTGCCACCATCTCTTTTTTTAGCCCTTTGATCATAAATTAATCAAAAGACAATGTAATGGCTAGAAATAAATAAGGAATAAGGAATTAAATTTAACTTCCAACACTCAACACAGGTGGACAAAAATTAATCTAACTCTATTCACGCATGAAGTGGGGAAAAAAAACAAAAGGCCACCAGAATTTTGTATTTAGCCACTTTCATGAATTAGTAAGGTGCACGTGTGAACCATGTTATTTGTCTAATTGAATTTAGGATGTCATTAAGTTGATTTGACTAAAATGTATTATTTATGATATATATTTTAAGTTAAAGATAACTGTGTATGTATATATTTTAAGTGAAAAATGGCTAGGATCATACATATATAAATATTATGAGAAACAAATTGGTAAGAAGCTTAACAAATATTCATTTCGGATGTTTGAAGACAGTCACTTTAATGCTAATTGAAACAAATGTTACAAGTGAAATTCAATTATAATTCAAGACACATACTGAAAGACTAACAAAAATGTTAGAATAATTTTATTTGCACTAACACCTTGTGAAAAAAGATCATGAAGTTTTATATTAATTTCCATTGAAAATGATATGATAATATGGAGGGTAAAGTTTCTTTTGCCTTGAAATATATTATAATATTAAAAGAACATTAATTTTAATTTTAATTTTAATTTCTTACCTTATTGTCATTAATATTGTTGATGAAAAATAAGTTTGATATTGTGAAAGAAAATAGATGGATAGTTCATTTATTTGTCTTTCTTAAATTAATTTCTCTTGCATCATTTGGTTTTCATTAATTAATACCAACCATTTCTCTTATTTTTATTTATTTCATATTAAATTTTGCTAAATAAATTACTTAATAATAGTGCATCAATTATTCTATATGGAAGGCATATAAAAAAAATACAAAATTTATTGATACTTTTAATGAAATTCAAAAAAGGTCAATCAAACCAACAATTTAAATCCATATAAAAGGATTAGGCAACTTCTATTGCTATTTTTGTAAGGATTTTTTCTGCCCAAAGTTTTACAGACAAAATTAAAAGTTGTTTTTTATTTTAATTCGATACACAATTTAGTGTTTTTATTATTTTACAAACCATTATTGTCACTCTATTTAAAAATTTTATGACTGATGAAGTAGAGGCTAACTTGCAAAATTTTAAATTACAATACTTATATTGGAAAACAAACGTTGGCTATTAAACAATAGGCGCATTATTTCCTCAAAATAAAAGTAAAAATTCATAAAGTATAATTTTGTAAACTAAATGTTGAAGTAATTAGTAACTTATAAAATAATATAAGTTAAATATTAAATTGTTATTATGAAAATATAATAAATATTATTTAATATATTATTTTAAATATTGAACTACAATTTGTGTGTTGTACAGGTAGATAAGCTAGTATTATAAGTTAAGAATTTTATAAACTTTTGGGACTTTAGTAGTTTATTTTTCACCCTCATGTGTTTCGGCCGACACAAAATCAAATGAACCTTTAAGAAAATAATATTTTTTACTTCATTTTATAATATAAATGATGATAATAATTTTTTTTCCGTTCATCAAATCCATAAAATATTTCCTAAAAGTTCTAATATGATTAATTATTATTCTCCAAAGATATTAAACTATTTTCAATCTATCATATTACTTGTGCTAATATAATCATGTAATCCAAAATATTACATATTTATAACAAAAATAACATAATATTATTTAGCTAAAAGACATTTTCAATCAGCTGTTCAGACAAAAATGCAAATTGCTACAAATGCAGCAATGTTGCAAAAATCAGGCAATTCGTATACTTTCATGTTTACATTAATCTCCATTAAATGCTTGAAAACCGCACATACATAGACAAACTTCCTAAAAGACATTTTCTTGAAAACAAGAAAGAAGCCCTTCGCACCTAAAGCTAGAGAAAATGCCTAAAAGAACAGGGTACAATATAAAAAGAATCAGTGACATTTTTCATGCATTAGGCCCCAGGAGATTTTTCTAATCGAACTGTACCAACTATATGCAGATGGATTAACTGTCATGTCACTTTATAATTATATATATGAATAAAGAAAAATGTATGGGATATATACAGTACGTGCGAAGCACGAGGTATATTTATTTGGAGAGAATATTATATTATAAGATGCAATATTCAATAAAAGTTTATAATACGCAAGAAATTGTACAATGTTCAATAAAAGTTTTATAATATTCAAGTGGAATCTTAAAGTCTCTTGTACATTAAGACTACTGACAAAATAATATTTTAATCAATGAGTTTCTTTTCCTTGTAGCCAAATTGTGAATGTGATTTGAGAAGTACAACAAATCGATATATAGTTGACTTGCTTTTTTCATTGTAGTTTTTTTTCTTTTTTTTCATAATGAATTTAAAGATATTCTAAAATATAGCAAAAATTAATTTTTCTATTACAATTAGCAACTTTACTAAATATAAACTCTCAATCTATGGTGTTAATCAACGTTTAAGTCTAAAAAAATAGAAATTTTTACCTCTTTTAATCAACATTTAAGTCTAAAAAACAATAGAGTTATTATAAGTTTTTTTTCTACATCTTCTAAAACATTAAATATGAGCATGTTAGGGCTAGCTTGTAAAACAATTAATATATTATATCACTAAAACATTTATACTAATAAAAACTTAATTTTAGCATATAAATTTATCCCTTGATATAAGAGAAAGTAACAGTTTTACTTATTGTTGTTCACCATATGATATTTATTATTATTTTATTATATAATAAAAGTAATATTGTTAAATAGTGTAGTAGAATTACATTTTTATTTGTTATTTGATTTTTTTATTATTAAAATCTTTTTATTATACTTACCTTTTTAAAATAAATAAATAAATCAATTAAATAAATAAAATATTATAATACCAAAATAGTAATGACATTTAATGCAGTTGACTTTTCTGGATAGTAAATGTAGTAAATAGAATATCCTTTTATATAGTATAATACGGAAATAGTAATGCAATAAATGCTGTTGACTTTTCTGGCTACTTAATTTGATAAATAGTACCCCCTTTAATATAAGTATAGATTAATCAATATAGTTAAGTTTTTATCGAGATTTAATAAAATTATTTTCACAATTTGAAAAATTTAATAAAGTAAATTGGAAATTTAAGTTTACATCTAAATCCAAAATTAATCAAAAATTTTGCATCCATTAACCAAAACAAAATTCCGACTAATATAAAATGAAAAGGAAAAAAAATACCCGAAAAATAAAATGGAAACAAACGGACATATATTTGAGATTTGTGACTATCAATTCATATAATCAAGAAACAATTACTCTCTAATTAGATGGACTCTTAACGAAATGACAACTAAGCCACTAAAAATTTAAGAAATTAAAAATGAAGAAGTAATTAATAACTTAAAAAGTAATATAAGTTCAATATCAAATTGTTATTAATAATAAATTATTTTAATTATATTGTACTACAACTTATGCATTGTAAATGTAGATAATCTAGTATTAGTTAAGAGTTTCACAAGCCTTTTGGACTTTAGTAGTTTAAATTCCATCTGTATGTGTTTCAGTTGGCACTAAGCAAATAAAAATTTAAGAAAATATTATTTTATTAATCCTTTTTATAATATAAATGCTGGCAATAATTATTTTCAAGTTTATTAAATCCATAAATATTTGCTAAAAGTTATAATATTATTAGTTATTATTCCCCAAATATATTATATTCGTTTTCAATATGTCAGATCACTTGCATTTATATAGTCATGTAATCTAACATATTATTCTCTTGTAATTTTTATCTGACATATTTATTTAATAATAACATAATCTTATATAACTTAAAACGTGTTAATGAAAAAAATAAATCAATATAAATTAGGTTTTTATCGAGATTTAACAAAAATATATTTAGAATTTGAAAATATACAAAATTATAAAGTGTGAAATATAAGTTCACGTCTAAATCCAAAATTAATCAAACAATTTGCATCCATTAACCAAAATAAAATATGACTAAACTAAAAATGAAAATACAATACTCGAAGATATAAAATGATACAAACGAATATATATGTGAGTTTGTGAAAGACCAGACAATTTATATAATGAAGAAAAGATTACTTTCTGTCATTAAATGAACTCTTAACAAAATGAGAAGTATTAGTTATTCTCTCTATGAGAGCGATAGATTTCCGTCGACTTCCGAACATTTTGCTCAGTGAATCTCACCGTTTTTTCCTATCATATCTTTACTTTTTATAAGTTTCCTTCCCCTCTGATTGTATCCTCTTTTCGTTTTCCATTTTCCCCTTTGTATCTCGGTCAATATCCACCCCTTTTTTCTTTAAATGGACAACAACTGGGAGTGTACCTATTAAGCACTTCCAAAGAAAGTGCTTAATTTTCTTTGCTGTTTTCACTTTCCAGAGCCTGAACTTGGTGGCTTTTTTAATTGTGTTGCTGGTGCTACATTCAGGAAAGTCTAATTTCAACACCTTGAGACTGCAGAGATGATCATAAGTACGAGAAACTGAGAACTGGCCTTTTTTGTCTAAGCCCCAGTAGAGTCTATCTTGTCTGTGTTGGTGAAGGGTTGAGATGTTAAGGATAGCTCGGTTGTCTGACTCATTAAACACCTGCTTAATCAACCATTCATTCCACTGAGTTCCATTGCAATGCAAAAGTTCTCTAATCCAAATAAGGTGGTCTCTGGCAATTGGAATAAGTGCAGGTGTTGGTTTGCCAAGATTTGGAACCCAATTTAGATCAGCAATTCTAGTATTAACCCCATTTCTAATTTCAAATTTGAGCCATTTGGCAAAAAAAGGCATCATGTCCATCCAGCAATTCCACATCCAAGATCCACCTTGAGTTTTTGAAGCATGATCAATGGAAGAATGGGGGAAGTACCTGTCTTTAAGGAGTTTGCTGACAAGAAGGTCAGGATTTGTGGCAATCCTCCACAATTGTTTGCAAATTAGGGCTTTGTTGAACAGCTGCAAATCATGAAAACCCAGCCCACCTCTGTCAAAAGGGAGAAAGAGGAAGCTCTATTTTTCCCAGTGGATTCCTTTATCCTGCTCCATTCCTGTTTGCACCAAAACTGTGCACAAAGTTTGGAAATTTCAGCACATAGAGAAACTGGCAAAGTGAAACATGACATAGTGAAAACAGGTAAAGCTTGGATAACTGCTTTTATAAGAACTTCGTTCCCAGCAGAGCTAAGGAATTTGGCTTTCCAGCTGATTAACTTATTCCTCATAGAAGTCAGTAAGTAATCAAAAACTTCCCTTTTTGATCTACCAATTCCCAGAGGTAGACCAAGATATCTTGTGGATTTGTGAGCAACAATACCATTGAGGTTCTGCAAATGTTAGTCTGAAACTGCTGAGGAGTGTTTTTACTAAAAAATATTGCAAATTTCGGAAGATTCACTGCTTGCCCAGTGAAGAGCCTGTATTGTTCAAGAATGTTCATAATGATTCCTGCTTGATCAGAACCAGCTTTGCAGAAGAAAAGTGAATCATCTGCAAATAAGAGATGTGAGAGCAGTGGGCCATTTCTAGACAGCTTCAATCCCTTCAGAATACCATTAGCAATTGAATTCAGAATGAGGGCAGTAAGCGGTTCAACAACAATGATGTACAAGTAGGGGGATAGTGGATCCCCCTGCCTTATTCCTCTAGAGGGAGTGACAAAACCACTGATAGAGCCATTGACTTTGAAAGAAAATGAGGCAGATGATATGCAAATCATGATAAGCTTAATAAAATCAGAGTAAAACCCCATTTGGATCATTATTTTCATCAGACAGAGCCATTCAACATGATCAAAGGCTTTAATCAAGTCTAGTTTCAAAGCCATGAAGTAGTTAGGACCAGTGGAGTGTCTGTTTAAGAAATGAAAGGCTTCCTGTGCTATTATCACATTATCTGTCAATTGCCTTCCTCTATGAATGCAGCTTGATAATCACTAAGACATGAGGTTAGGCAGCCTTTAAGTCTCTGAGCCATTAGTTTGGAGATGATTTTATAAACAACACTACAGAGACTTATAGGCCTAAAATGGGTCAAAGACTCAGGGTTGTCACATTTAGGAATTAGAGACACCACTGTATAGTTCCAATTTGAGCATCATACCTGATTAAAAAAAGCTGGTCACAACACTCATTAAATCTGACATTATGAGAGACCAAAAATGTTGATAAAATTTGGCAGTCATGCCATCCTCCCCAGGAGATTTATATGGTTGAAGACTAAACAAAGCACCCTTCACTTCTTCTTCTTTCACTTGTTTGAGTAATGTTTGATTCATTTCATCACTGATACAAGGAGGAATTAGGTGAAGTAAAGCATCACCACCCCCAGCTACCCTCAGAAGGGAATAGTGACCCATAAAACTCAGCAATATGCTTCTCAATGTCACCCTGAGATGTGTGCACTTTTCCTTGTGCTGAAATTAGTTTTGTAATAGCTTTGAGCTTTCTCCTCTATAGTGTGAAGGAATGAAAAAACCGAGTATTTGCATCCCCCTCCCTCAGCCATTTGTGTTTAGCCTTTTGCGGCCAATATAATTCTTTTTGGAGGTGAGCCTTATTCAGATCTCTCTTGGTAGTGATCCATGCCTCCCAGTTGTGCCCAACTTTGTCAGCATTTAAAATTTCCAGCCTTTGGGTGAGCTCAGCCATGTGCTTCTGATTTTGTGGTACCTGCCACATGAATAAGCCAAGCTTGTTTGACCACTTCTCCTTGAGCTGAAAGAATGGGTACCTGCCACATGAATAAGCCAAGCTTGTTTGACCACTTCTTCGAACCCCTTTTTGTTAATCCCCCGTTTATCAAAATGAAAGGAAGACTTCCTTTTCTCTCTTGGCAACCCCATATTTAACAAGAGAGCTGAGTGATCAGATGAACTCCTCAGAACATTATAGACCACTGCATTAGGATATAGTTGTAGTCAGTCCAGTGAGCCAACAGCCCTATCCAATTTTTCCTCCACTAAATGAGGAACAGCTCTGTTGTTGCAGCAGGTGTAAGTATATCCTTCAAACTTGACTTTTGACATTTCCATGGCATTAATAAAATTGTGGAAGCCTTGAAAACTGGTCATATTTCTAGAGTTGCCACCTGCTTTTTCATTATGTGACATCAGATCATTCCAGTCCCCAATTGAAACTAAGGGTGACCCCAGAGCTATTTGTCTATGAGCATGTATGCCCATTGAGCTTCTCTTGTCACTCTGCAGGAGCTAAAATAGGCAAAAACTCCCCATTGGGGATTAGTTGAAGGCAATTGAAAATTAACAGCTATATAGAAATCCTTACACTGAATTTGATGAACAAGTACATTAGAATCCCAACACAAAACTAACCCTCCACTAAGACCTACCGGATCCACTATAGCCAATTTACTATCATAACCCAATATTTTACAAACAGACTTCACAAAAGCATTTTGTTTTTTGGTTTCAGATAAAAATAGAAAATTTGGGTGGTGAGTTCTCAATAACTCTCTGATTTGGGAAATTGTAGAGGGCCCACACAGCCGTCTACAATTCCACACCATAGCTAACATTGGTCATGGTGGTGCCATTCCAGGCTGGCAACCCTTACCCTTTTGGACTGAGTTTTGAGTTTTTTAGATTGAACCTGATTTGTAGTAGAGGTTCCTTGGACCTTTCATCCGTCTCATTATCAACTCTGACTCTCTTGCCCCTTACTAGTTGGTCAATGATAAGAGGAGGCTCTGAAGCTCTCTACAGTCTGCCTGTTTTGCTGCCCACTCTTATCCATGTCTTGAGATTTTAAGTTTGGCAGTCTTGGTGAGTTTCTAGCAGTAAATCTGAAACATGGGCTGGGAATTCGTTCTCTACCTCCATCACTGAGGATTCCACTAGCTGGAGATTATTTTCCACCATTTCCTCTCTTGGGGTTGGTACCTTGTTAGCTGAGACAAAAGATGTAGCAGCTACTGACTTTACTAGAGAAGGGATGTCTTCTTGACTTTGAAATCGTTGCTGATTGTTACCAGTCTGGCTTGATGAAGCTCCCTGTGCAGTAGTGTTCTCAGCCATTGAAGGAGACTCCCTTGGTGGAGATGATCTTGAGCCAGAGACATTACCAGGTGCCCATCTTTGCCCATCCGCTGCTTTCAGCCAATCACCATATTGCCCTTCTTTCATAGAGTTATTAACTATATCTTCCATCTTCTTAGGACACCCACGGTCTAAATGACCTATCTTTCAATAATAATGGCAAAGGTTCATGAGTTTTTCATACTTAAACCTTACATTGACAATCTGATCGCCCAATCAAATATTGAGGATTCTATGAATTAGCTCCTAAAGATTAAGAGTTACTAGTAATCACAGGAGCTTTCCCCCATGGTTACCTAAAGTAGCAATTGTAACATTCTTGAGGCTCTTGAATGCTTTACCTATCTTGAAACCCATTTCATAACTTAGCCAGAGGGATGTTGTGCACCTGAACCACAAGTTAAGTTCCTGAAAACTTGGGTGTTTGCGGGAGATTCCACTAGTCCATTCCCTGAGAATTAAGTATTGGTTATCCATGCTCCAGTTAGTCCCAGCCGCCACTTTTTTCATATCTTCTCAGTTTTGGAATATGAATTGGAAATAGTTTGGGCTGAGCTCTTTCACTTCTATAGCCTGACTGAGCCTCCATATCTGGGACATTGCACACCTAATTCCAATACAGCTCGCTGTCCGATCACCGATGACTTTACCAAAAAGGCTTCTCTGACATTCATCGTCACTGATGCGGATATCATCTTGAGCAATATCCACAATTTTTGCTTCCCTGTTCGATAGAAAGAAATGTTTCAATCGATCAGAGAGATAGTCATCTTGGTTGTTATGCGAATGATCATTCATTGATGGACACAACTTGTTCTATCTGTGGAAAATCAGCTGAGACTGTAGAACATATTCTTTTCACATGTAGCAGAGCTACTAGAGTTTGGGACTTGAGCCCTTTGAGCTGGGATGGTTTGAATGACTGCACTGACTCTTTCAAGGCTTGGTGGTATAAGGTCTGCTCCCTTGACAAATCTGAGGTAGCCGAAGCTCGAATCCTGGCTTTGGAAGTCGAGGAACTTGTGGATTTTCCAAAAAACATTAATACCAGAGCACAAACTCATTCTGATTGCGCAGGCAGATTGGATGGATTTTTCTGTTGCTGCTTCTAGTTTTTAGTTCTGTTTTGTTTTGATTTTGTATGAGATAAGTCCCTTGCTAGGCTTTGTAGCAGCGGTGGGGACTTAGCTCCTTTATCTTCCTTTCTCTTTTAGTTTCGGTTGCTCTTTGTTGAGGTTCTAGACCACTTTGTTACGAGTCTCTCACTTTTCTATTTTCGGTTGGTTGATGACTTTGTATTCGAACTATGTTCTCTTTGAGTTAATATAGTTTACTCTGTTGTTTTGGAAAATAAAAAAACATGAAAAATTTAATAAAGTAAACTGGAAATTAAAGTTCACGTCGAAATCCAGAATTAATCAAAAATTTTACATCCATTAACCAAAATAAAATTCTAACTAATATAAAACGAAAAGGAAAAAAAATACCCGAAAAAAACATATATTTCAGATTTGTGACTATCAATTCATATAACCAAGGAACAATTACTCTCTCATTAGATGGACTCTTCTTAACGAAATGACAACTAAGCCACTAAAGTTTAATAATAAATTATTAATAAATTATATTGTACTACAACTTATGCATTGTAAAGGTAGATAATCTAGTATTAGTTAAGAGCTTCACAAACCTTTTGGACTTTAGTAGTTTAAATTCCATCCGTATGTGTTTCATTTGGCACTAAGCAAATGAAAATTTAAGAAAATATTATTTTATTAATCCTTTTTATAATATAAATGCTGATAATAATTATTTTTAAGTTCATTAAATCCATAAATATTTGCTAAAAGTTATAATATTATTAATTATTATTCCCCAAATCTCGTTTTCAATATGTTAAATTACTTGCATTTATATAGTCGTGTAATCTAATATATTATTCTTTTGTAATTTTTATATGACATATTTATTAATAAATAACATAATCTTATTTAACTAAAATCGTGTTAATGAAAAAATAAATCAATATAAGTTAGGTTTTTATCGAGATTTAACAAAATTATATTTAAAATTTGAAAAAAAATATAAATTTATAAATTATGAAATGTAAGTTCACGTACAAATCCAAAATTAATCAAACAATTTCCATCCATTAACCAAAATGAAATAGGACTAAACTAAAAATAAAAATACAATACCCAAGATATAAAATGATACAAACGGATATATATGTGAGTTTGTGAAAGACGTGACAATTTATATAATGAGGAAAAGATTACTTGCTGTCATTAAATGCACTCTTAACAAAATGACAAGTGAGGCATTAAAAAAGTAAGAGTAAGGGTAAGTTGGTCTATCCAAATTTTTACAGAAATATTGGTCCTTTTAAGTTAGTAGTAGATAGATAGATAGTAAGGGTAAGTAAGCCATTAAAAAAGTAAGAAAGTAAGCCAAATTTTTATCATTAAATGCACTCTTAACAAAATGGCAAGTAAGCCATTAAAAAAATAAGAGAGTAAGGATAATTTGGTCTATCCAAATTTTTACAGAAATATTGGTCCTTTTTAGTAGATGTATAAATCTTAGATATTTAGTCAACAGAATTGATTTAACAACTAAACTCAACAATTTGAGACATGCTTCATTTCAAGTTCCAAATAAAGATGGCAAAAGAAAGAATAAATAAGCTACATAAAAATTGCAAAAGAAAATGACCATACTTGTAAACAAATCTGAATGTACCTTTTTACCATAACAAGCATGACTAATAAATAAGTAGCTGGAAAATTATCATTCCAATTGATAATAATACATCAGATAGAGCACAATAAAACTAAAAGAACATAAATAACTTGGTGTTCAATAACATAAATCCAACACATCATTGAAAATTCACCAATTTTTTCAACAAAGTTAATAGTTAAAATAATGACGATTGGTCTCTCTAGAGGATGACCATTGACGAGTACAAAATTAGTCTATTACAATTCTAAAAGATAATTTATATATCCTGCATTTCTCTTGAAGTAGCCCCCGATTTTAATTTCTTGGAATGCCTGAAATTGAAAAAATACATGAAAAATAAATAATAAAAGTTGTTATTGAATATTCGTAGCTATTTTTGTATAAAGACGTACCTTTATTGATTTGAGATACCATCGAGTTGGATGATGCGACACCATCCTTCATATATTCTTGTAGATGGTGCATCTCAACTCTAGAGTTCATGTTTTCTTCAAAATCGGTCAACGGACAAGGCTTCATGACAAAAGAAAAAAAAAATAAAAAAAAACTATATAAAAAATGTTGTGTTAATGTTATCTATCAAACACAAACAAAAATAACGATTACCTCTTTTGATGAATTTGATTTTTTTGGAGTTCCTAGAAAGTTTTTCGACCGAATCCTTTGGTCGTTTTGTTTTTCTTCTCCCGTCCCTTTTCTTCAATCCTTTCATTTTTCAAGTTTGTCCTTTATGTTGAATGAAGGAACTTCTTCATTTGCGTTATCATTTTTCGTCGTAAAAGCAAAAATTTGCTTATTACATTCACTCACCATTTTCTCTATGCAATTGCGTGTCACTTCATAGGTGGAAGCTTGAAGTGTCATCCGTAAGAGTTGAGATTGAAGCCTTTGAACCCATTCCATAACTCATTCTCCACACCATTAGAATTTACTTTGTACAAGTTTTGGGCACTTTTCACTCTTGTTGTCCACCTGGCCAATATGTACTTTTGGGAATGCACATCACGTCTTGGACAATAAATATTTTCAGGATATGGAAACACAATATTCCCATAATTTCAAACTTTCTACAACTACAAACAACCCAGTCTTTTGTAGTATCAAAGAGTACCTTCATCTCTTTCTCTCTTGGCCAATGAAGACAAACCACGTACTCATGCGGACTTCGGGTGTCATCTTTTCTTTCTATTATTACTCTTAAAGAAGCACGAAGTTCGATATGGAAAAGTGTAAATATTTTGGGAGTGTACAATTGTGAAACTTGCTTCAAGAACAAAGATTCATAAGATTCCAATGGAGGCAACATTTGTCTTGCATCAAAGTCAGCTTTAAGCTCTCATTCTCTTTTTTCATCAACAACCCTGTCAAACTGTTTAAAAAAATCAGAAATATTCAAATCACATTTCAAGTAGGACTTGAAGTCACTATTCAAGCTCTCACTCAATTGTGTGCTTCTTATTCCCAAGGTAAATACATACTTCATATAACATTTGGCCCATTTTTCCTTTAAGTCGTACGTACAAAATAACCATTCATTATCATGCAAATCATAACGATCAAGTAAATTTTTCCATTCCTTTTTAAAATCATCCTCTTCTAGATATTCAAACATGCACCTCTTGAACTCCGTTAAAAAAGAAGAATCATCTTTCATACGCCAACCCAAATGTTTGATCCCATTTTCATTCAAATATCACGTGCATAGCCCATGTCTTGTATTTTTCAATACTTTTGCCAAAGCATTCGCCATAGCCGCATCTTGATCCGTAAAAATCGTTTGAGGCTTTTTACCTGCATGAGCATTTAAAAAAGTTTCAAAAAGCCAAGCAAATGAATCGGCGGTCTCATCGTACAAAAGTGCACTCCCAAAATGACCATTTGCCTATGATGATTAAATCCCGTAAATACACCCAAGGGCCTCAATTCTTTGTTTGTTCCATAGGTTGTGTCAAATGTAATTACATTACCAAAATCACCATAATCAACAATCATCCTAGAATCCACCCAAAATATATTAGTGATAAGTTCGTCACCGTCAAATTGCATTGAATAAAAAAATGAAGGGTCTTTACCTTTTCTCTGCTCAAAGTATCTAATTATACCTCTCAACTCTTCGTACACCATGCGTTTTTCTCTCTTCGACCGCAAATAAGTCTTTTGGTCTTCCATTGTATATCCGAGCTTATCCCAACACCCTGCTTCTCTAATCCTCAAGTGATGTGTTGCTTTTGGGTTGAGTTCTGCATCATGCGGCAGCGGCAGCGGCAGCATGAGTCATTTTCCTATGGAATCTCAACATGTGACTCGTCTCTGGAGTCTCAAGTTCATGCTTATGTTCTCGAACAAATACTTTGATCTTGTATTTACCACTTGACCTCTCCAAAACTATATTTAATTTAGCCTTGCATGATGTTCTTTCTTCCCATCGAAGCACAACTCCTACCCTTCTTTTATCTTCAGCTCTTTTACCCTCTTCATGGCAAACAAAAATTGCATTATTATATGCTCTATCCTTTTGGCTTTTGTTGTAGTAATGTATTCCAACCCCAAATCCCATTGACTTCCCATAATTCTGCCAAAATTCCCATGCTTAATCAAGAATATCAAAAATCATTCCAATTCTTGGTTCGTCGTTCCGACCGCCGTATGTCACATTTTCAGCCATCTCCACATCAATACTAGAAATTTTTTCAAAAACCATGTCTTCCACACCATCCTCAGAGCTCAAATTACTCCTACATAAAAGCATATTATACACAAAATATTTAGAAGAACATAATCACATATGTGAGTTTGTGAAAATAGAAGCAGAACCTAAGCCTAATTTTTCAATGTCTCGCATCAAATGGGTGGGTATACAAATAAATATCCAAACCCATGTACACAAAATTATGTGATTTTACAGAACAAAGACCCATAAAAATTACATTGCATAACATGTTATGAACAAAAGGAACTTTAAGAGAAAATGTAACTTAGCATCAGTTAATAAGAAGATACACAAAGGAATCTAGTACATAACCCAATAGATCATACTCATTGTGGTCCAACCATTCTTAAACATTTAAAATAATTTTCATTCTATTAACAAGAACATGACCCATATCAAAACCAACTAAGAAAAATATGGAGAAGAAGAAAAAAGAACAAGCAGAAATATATATATTAAAAAAAAAACTTACCCAATAGACATTTTCTTTCTAGGTTCCATCTTTTTGCCCATATCTTGAAAAAGTTCATTTGTTGTGATTAGGTCCAACCATATTGATGTTGTTTCAAGATTTTTTCTTGATGAATCTTCTTCAGAGAGTGAGGTTTCCATTTTTGTGATGTTGATCTCGCTCTGCCTGTTGTCCCCCAATTGACTTATTAGGTTAAGCTTATTAAATTTAATTCTTTATTTCTTATTTATTTCTAGCCATTAGAATGTCTTTCAATTATTTTATGATCAAGGGCTGAAAAAGGAGCTGCTGGGGCTGCTGTTAGTTACCCACAGCAACCCCCCGTACCCGTTTATATGCTTGAGAACAGAATAAATATGCAAGTCTACAATTTTATCTAGAGGTAGGTACCAACTCCAAATTGACACATAAAATAGAAAAATGTGTCCTGACTAGGGGCGGATCTAGCCATATAAACGTGTGGGAGCCTAATCTTTGAAAGAGATTAGATATTATACATTATAATTAAAAATTCAAAGAAAAAACATAAATTTCCAATTATTACATATGTATTTTCATAGCATGAAATTGTTTCTTATAGTTAAATAATTAAACAACTCTTTTACTATTTGCACACACATTTTAAAACATTAAAAAAAATGAAAACAAGAAAAATACAATTACATGACTTTCATACCATGAAATCACTTTTTATAGGGACACTTCTTTAAAAATCCCCAATCCTTTTTCAATCTTTCATATCAGTCCCTACATAAANTATTAACTAATACAGATTTATTTTTGTATAAACTATCAAAATAAAAAAATTATATTTTACTAATCTTTATTTTATATAAATATATATTATACTAAATCTATAAATCTATATTTTTGTCGTTCAAATTTATCAATTAATTCTCTAAAATTAAATTATAAATTTTAAATTTATTAAAAAATATTTACTCAAAGATCTATCTAATTTTCAAGAAGAATATATATCAATTAGTACGATACCCGTGTACTACACGGGTGCGTAAATATATTAATATTTGTACAATAGAAAAACTAAAATAATATATGGGTTAATAACTTTTTCCCATCTGAACTATCACGATTTTGGCGCATCACCATATGAACTTTTTTTTTTTACAAACCACCATCTAAACTACACGGGTTTGTCAAATTGCCCCGTAAACCAAAAAAAAAGTAGTTTTGACTAAAAAAAAGCTGATTTTTGAGGGTATTTAAGGAATTTTATAATTTTTCCAAAAAAAAAATGAAAAATGAAAAAAAAGAAAGAAAACAGCAACCCACCAACAGCCACCTCAAAACCCTAATCTCCGCTGACTTTGACCACATAATATGGGAAATAAAATACGGATCAGAATTGCCAACAGTCACCTCCAATTATTCACGATCTTTTCTCCTTACTTCTTCGTGCAAGTGCCTCAATAAATACGGATCGATTCTTATCGATATACCGTTTGTCGATCAGAGCTTTTACGGAAAGGAAGTATATGACTACCACGAGGAGCTGAGACATGTTGGGGTCATGTCTGAGTTTAAGGATGCATGCGAGTACATTGGGAATCATCTCATGTCTATAGCGGTCTCGTCAGCTCTGACTCGTGCCCATTTCTACTCGATACTGAGCTTTATCCGATTCTTGAGGGATAAACTCCTTCCTCCCGATGGTTTTATCAATAGCATCAAGAAAAATGGCTGCGGACTTCACAAGGCGAAAGGAGCCCCTGGGAATCCGTGCTTTACGACCCGGAATGGGAAGTCGCCTCTCATCGCACAAATCATTTCTGAGGTTCTGAGGCTAAACTGCAATTCACTTTTTTTTTTTGGGCTTGAGAAGACACTGAAAATGACAACTAAAACGAATTAAGAACAATTACTGGATATATTAATTTGTTAAGCCAAATTGCCCCCAAAGGAAGAAAAGATAAACAAAATTTATATTACTTGCAGGTCCACTTTTCTATTATGTGAGGAGTGTGTTTTTGTATTTGTTCAATTAATAGACTTTTTTGGTGTAATTATGTTACAGAAAAAGCGCACGAGCCGAGTTTTTGAGCTCGAGAACCAGATTTCTCATCTCGAGAATCTTTTAGCCGAGTTTCTGAGCTCGAGAACCAGATTTCTGAGCCGAGTTTCTGAGCTGTTTTCTTTCCTTTTTTTTCATTTTTCTTTTTTTTCTTGAAGAAAATATAAAATTCCTTAGATGCCCTCAAAAATCAGCTTTTTTTAGTCAAAACTACTTTTTTTCCGGTTTAGGGGGCAATTTGACAAACCCGTGTAGTTTAGATGGTGGTTTGTAAAAAAAAAAAGTTCATATGGTGATGCGCCAAAATCGTGATAGTTCAGATGGGAAAAAGTTATTAACCCATAATTTATTTTTATATTGTAAAATTATGTATAATGAATATAACAAATAATGAATAACTAACAAAGTAATAATTAATTCAAAATGGGGTCTGTATTTTTGCACTTAATTTTCTTAATTTATTTAAAATCTATGACAAAACACATTAAAATGATTATTTTATGGTGTATTATGGAATTAGATTTTTATTATATTCGTTATAAAATAATTTATGTTCTATTCGTATTTTTCAAATTATTTTTTTAATAAATATAGTTTTATTTATAATGAGAGATGTAGTTTTTTTTATTTTATATATGCAATATAGATGTCAAATCGAAGATCATTAAAATATGATTATTTCGAGATATACCATACAAAAAATAAAATAAAAATAAAAAATTATAATGATTTAAAAATAAAGAATACATATTTATTATAACAATTATTATATGAATTAGATAAGAAAAAGAAAGAGTAGTATATACTATATGGTAACTTGAAAAAAAAAACCTAAAATAGTTTATGGTAAATCTCAAGCCTAAAACGGATCATGTACATGTGTCAATACAAAGCATATAATTATGACAAATAAACTTCTGAAGCATATGAGTCTGCCACTTAGGCTCGTGGCATTCGGAAATTATATATAGGAGAAATTTATAAAATTATTAATAATATCTTATGACAATTTGTTATAGGGATATGCTAAAAATTGAGAATTATATTACCTTGATTTATATAATTCGACCTAAAATTCGACTTTCATATCCATACCAAACAAAATTCACACCACTTATTTTATTTTCAAAATTAAATACACTTCTATTCATATCATATGAAACTCATATCATTTAAATTTGGATATTTCATGGTAAAATAAAACCGCACTCAATTTATTAATCATAATACTCAACTATTATCTTATTCTAAAATTTAGTGTCATATAATATTATTAAAATAATTTTTTTTAAGTTAACAACCCAATTTTATTATATGCAAATATTTGATATTTCTAACAAACAAAAATTTATACTCTAATAGCTTACGCAACACGAATTTTTATTTACGCTGCGTAGTATAAGAGCCAAAACGCGATGACTTATGTTATAAAACATTTTAAAACACTAAGAGAAATATAATTTCAATATAAATGAACGTTAAGGCAATATTATATTATTTATTGTGAAACCCCGTGCGTAAAGAAGGACTACAATTTTAAATATTTATTTATTGAAAATTAAGCACATCATTTATTTTTTTAAAAGAAAATAAATAAATATTATGATAGGATATCAGCCAATTTAATGCGTGATATATCATGTTTATCAGTTTCATATATGATATGTGCCGCTTAAGTAATTTTAATTGCAATAAATATGGAGTTGTGGATATATTAAGGATGATTTTTATTTATATTGAAATTAACAGACAAATTTGTTTCCATAAAATGAAAATTACCTAAAAATAAAATCAAAATATTTCTAAATTTCAAAATTAGAATTCTATTGAGTTCATGACCACTTGTCGAGTAAACTTAATTAAAAACATTCAAATACTCATAGAAAATAATGTATAAGTGATTTTGAGTAATATAAACATCATTTAAGACCGAAACTCGATGTTCTTTTATGTTTATTGGAATTGGTACTAAAGACGCGATATTGGGTACTAAATAACCATTTAAATTGTGCAAATTATATAAAATATGTCTATTTAAAATTAGTACACAACTCGTATGGTGTACATAACTGATAATAAGTTACATTTAAAAAAAATTTATTCAAAAATTCAATTTGAATACAATGTGGTTACATTAAAGAAATATTTTGGTAAATTTTTTATAATATATTTAAATATATATATATATATATATATATGTGTGTGTGAATAAAAAGTATAATATTACTGAATTATATTTTTATTATATTTTTTATAAAATAATTTATGTTGTATTCATATTTTCGAAATTAGTTTTTTGATAAATATAGTTTTATTTATAATGATAGATGTAATTATTTTTATTTTATATATGCTATATGGATGTCAATCGAAGATCGTTAAAATATGATTATTTTGAGATATAATATACAAAAAATAAAATAAAAATAAAAAAGTTATATTGATGTAAAAATAAAAGAATACATAATTATAACAATTATTATATGAATTAAATAATGAAGGGTGTCATTCAATGAAATGAAGTGTATTAGTAATGTTTTCTCATTAGTGTGTCGAGTTCATGACTATTTTACGATTAAACTCAATTATAATCATTTTAAATCTCATATAAACTATTGTGAGAGTGATTATGGGTCATATAAACATTATTTGAGACCGAAATTCGGTGTTTTTATGTGTTTATTACAAGTGGTACTGAAGTCCCAATACCAGGTACTACAACAATACAAAACGGGTACTATCTAACTCTATGTCTGGTACTACTTTTGTAAATGTTGACCAAAATTGAAATAATCCATTTTCGTTCACAAAGTAGGTACTAATCGATCAAAAACAGGTACCACGTAGAAGAAGATGTGGTACTATTTTGGCTAACACAGGTACTATTTTAAGAATTGTGATTTCTATAATTCTTCATGTCTACCATGACGCGTGGTTCTTTCACACGTGATTTGAATGAAAAATAGTGGAAGTTAAACATATAGGTAGAATTTGGAGTAGCCATGTATGATGATTCTATGAGATGAAGTGTGTCATTCAATGAAATGAAATGTATTAGTAGTGTTTTCTCATTAGTATGTCGAGTTCATAACCAATTTGCGAATAATCTCAACTAAAAACATTTTAAATCTCATATAAATTAATGTGAGATTGATTATGGGTCATATAAATATCATTTGAAATTAAAATTCGGTCTTTTTATGTGTTCATTACCAGTGGTACTAAAGACCCGATATCTGGTACTAAAACACCATAAAATGGTACTATCATACTCTATGTCTGGTACCAATTTTTGCAAATGTTGACCAAAATTGAAGTAATCCATTTTCGTTGACCAATAGTACGTACTAATTTATCAATAACTGGTACTGCATAGAAGAAGAAGAAGAGGTATTATTTATGGTAAAACTGGTACTATTTTAAGAATCGTGATTTCTATAATCCTTCTTGTCTACCATGTCACGTGAATTGTTAACGCGTGATTTGGATGAAAAATAGTGGAAGTTAAAACATATAAGTAGCATTTGGAGTAGTCATGTATGATTATTCTATGAGATGAAGTGTGTAATTTAATGAAACGAAGTGTATTAGTAGTATTTTCTCATTAGTGTGTCGAGTTCATAACCATTTTACGATTAAACTTAATTTAAAACATTTTAAATCTCAAAAAACCAATGTGAGAATAATTATGGGTCATATAAACACCATTTGAGACAGAAATTCAGTGTTTTTATGTGTTCATTACGAGTGGTACTGAATACCCAATATCCGGTACTACAACAATCTAAAACTTGTACTATCTTACTCTATGTCAAGTACTACGTTTTGTAAATGTTGACCAAAATTGAAATAATCTATTTTCGTTCAAAAAAGTAGGCTAATCGATCAAAAACAGGTATCACGTAGAAGAAGATGCGGTACTATTTTGGCTAAAACAGGTAATATTTTAGGAATCGTGATTTCTCTAATACTTCATGTCTACCATGACACGTGGATCATTCACACGTGATTTGGATGAAAAATAGTGGAAGTTAAGACATATAAGTAGAATTTGGAGTAGTCATGTATGATGATTCTATGAGATAAAGTGTATCATTCAATAAAATGAAGTGTATTGGTAGTGTTTTCTCATAGAGTGTCGAATTCACGACCATTTCATGATTAAACTCAATTAAAAACATTTTAATCTCATATAAACTAATGTGAGAGTGATTATGGGTCGTATAAACATCATTTGCGACCAAAATTAGGTGTTTTCGTGTGCTCATTACAAGTGGTACTAAAGACTCGATATCTATTACTAAAACACCATAAAGTGGTACTACCTTACTCTAGGTCAGGTACTACTTTTTGTAAATATTTGCAAAAATTGAAATAATCCATTTTGATTGGCCAAAAGTAGGTACGAATTGATCAATAATAGGTACTACGCATAAGAAGAAGCGGTACTATTTCCATCAAAACTGGTATCATTCAATGAGATGAAGTGTATAGTGTTTTTCCATTAGTGTGTTGAGTGCGTGACCAATTTGCGATTAAACTTAATTAACCAAATTTCAAATTTCATAGAAACTAATGTGAGAGTGATTATGGGTCGTATAAACATCTTTTACGACCGAAATTCAGTGTTTTTATATGTTCGTTACAAGTGGTATTGAAGACTCAATATCAGGTACTACAACAAAATAAAAGGTTTTTTTTTTTTTTTTTTTTATGTTCGTCGGAGTTGTTACTGAATGCTCGAATCTAGTACTATAACATCATAATTGCGGTACTATCTTACTCTAGGTCTGATACTAATTTTGAAAATGTTGACCAAATTTGAAGTAATCCATTTTTTG